ATATGACACTCGAAGCAATTAATGGAGTACCGGTAATCTACTAAATGTATCATCTTATCAGATAACCTTTAATTAGCATGGGGCAAAGCACTATTAAAGTGAATAGTGAAGTTAAACTCATACAGGCCTGCACAACCTGTTTCTACTTTTTAAACATATTTTTATAAGTTAATCTTTGCTGAACAAACAGACTCAGAACCTCGTGAAATTGAAATACACTTTCGCCGCTAAATGTGCAATGTCAAATGCCTGAGCCTTTTTTTTTATCTTTCAGGAAGAATGACGGATGGCAGGCAGGTCAGAGCTTAACAGCCTCCCTACAAATGGAATCTACAAGTAAATGTTGTTTGTGACGAGAAGTGACAACTATATATAGAATCTAATACATACTTACACATTTGGGGAAAGTATCCTGCATTTCATTGTTAACAATAGTTTGAAGCAGTCACAGAGTCAAGCGATAATGGATTCCTTATTTTCACCTTTCTGACTGAATTAGCTCAGCAACAGACTCGGCTTCATGCTTCTACTCTTAAAAATGAATAATCTCTTCGGTAAAGCTGGTATTGAGGTCTTTACAATATATCCAATAGGTGGTCACCTTCATCGAGGGTGTTTTAATTTTTTATTTTGTTTGTATTATTTTCTTAAAATAAGGAAGCCAATTTTTCAAAAACAGCACCATAATATTAATAGTGCTCTTCCAATCGAAGTGCTTCACCGCACCCAGCAGTCGGTCATGGGATGAAAAACCGTGACCCTAAAGTTCTCCTTCCCGGATAAAAGAAGTTGAAGTTGAAGGCTATTTTTATAGTTGCAGTCACTTCAACTAAGCTTCACATGCACGGCATTGTTTTGTTTTTTGTGTGTTTTCTTTGTACTAAGACCCACTTTCAAGACCAAATTTGATCTTCCCTCTCCCCAAGTGCTTCAGCGTAGAGGCATTCGTTCAGAACCGTAAAAATGAGTTCTGCCGCTGAAAACTTTTTCTGTAACAAAACGTTTCGATGCTGACAGGCGTTAAACCAGAAGAACTGACGAAAACAAACACACAAACAAATAACAACTACAAAAAACTCCAAACAAAAAACAAAAAGTAATAAAAAGTTGCAATGAAACTGAATAAGAAGAGGACACGGGTGGTAAGTAGGTGCTCCCGTGCGGGTTTTTTGGGGGTGTTTTTTTGTTGTTTGTTTTTGGTAAGTGTTTTACGGCGCTCGCAACTGCATAAGGGGTTGTTCAAATATAATCTTACACCTTTTGAGCCCCCCCCCTCAATTCTTACACTTTTGTTACATTTGCCTCTTATAAC